TGGGTGGGGTGGGGTGGGAAGGAGGAAAGGGTGAATGAGAGACAGAGTTGGCCCTTGAAGGGCTTAGACCAGGTGGGGAGATGAGCTCAGGCACCAAGAAGCACTCAAGGGTGCCTGAAAACAGGGCCCCAGGGCCCCATGGGAGACCTCCTGTCTGGCTGGTGAGCTGGAGGGGCAGCTAGACACTCTTAATTCATGTACGTGGTGAGATGTCTGGAGAGGCTTCTTGGCTGAGAGGCTGACTTGGAAGTCCAACAGGGCTTTAAAGGTGGGGGAGGGTTCCTTCCTTAGGGTGGGTGAGGCTTTCAGCAGGCCAAGATGGAGGGCCTAGGACAAGAGAAGTCCAAGCAGAGGGGCTAGCCGGAGAAGGAACCTGGAGGCCCAAAGACGCAGCACATCTTTGGGGAGCTCCCTGTGGTGGGGGATGGTGCCTCACAGCAGTGCCTTTGGCTTGGCCCTGCCAGCTCTTTTCTCCTTAGGGCCCCACCCCCTCACCCCGCTTTCTGTTTACTGGGCACCTGTCCCAGCTCAGTGACTCTGGGGGTTACTAGGGGAGACCGAGATGTTGCTTCCACTTTTGACAGGGCTGGAGGGTACCATGCCAGGTGCCCTTCAGACTGTGCCCCCCCAGCCCCTGGCCCCGGGAAGCTTGGAGAGGATACAGTGTGGGGACCAGTGTACAGTCTTGTGTGGAGGGAGCCTCATCTCCATCTCCAGTTCCATCAGTCAAGGTCTAAAGGTCAAAGTCCCCTCCCCCCACCAGCTGTTCTGCAGAGGGGACCCTGTTGGCAGGACTTCGGTGTCCAGGGTAGATCTCCCTCCACTGGAGTGAGGTCCCAGAATCCTGAGGGGTCCCAGGCCTCAGCCCTGAACGGGTGCTAGTGTGATGTGCTCTTTGGGAGCCCTCTACAGATCTATTTTTATATGGAACTCATTCACTGGATAGAGGGACGGGGCCTGCAACCCCCAGTATGCCCGTCTGAGCCCACCCAGGGAGAGAAGGGCTGTTTGGGGAGGTGATTCCTTTGATTAGTGTTGGAGATGTTTTTATAATATTGGGTTCTATATGCAGGACAAAGTAATAAAAACTTGTCTGTGATATGGTGCCTCTTTCAGTGACAATTGTTTCACCATTAAGCAGTTTGAATGGGAGGGTTCTACCCCTCCATAGGGGGTTCTCCACAGTGTGTGTCTGAAATCTCTGGGTAGAGACAAATTAGACTATCCCTTCCATGAAAGATCCCTGTCTAGTGGGGGACACATTTAGGAAACAGATGACAGAACATTGTGGTCAGGGCCCCAGTAGGTTTACCAGCATGATATTTGAATCAGATTTGAAGGAGTGTCTTCTTGGACACTGTCATTCCATCCTGATGGCTCTTAGCATATTGTGACACATAGCATGTGCCAATTTGCTGGTGGGAGCTGGGCTCTTCCTGGTGTCTTGGTGCCAAGGTTATGCTATGTCCTCCATCACATCCATCATCTGAGGACCAGAAAATGCCAACTACATGGATGCTGATATCCACTAAGGGAAAGATTATAGTAAAGTGTAGAAGGCAAGAAGTGTGGGTTACAGCTGGTGGGGAGTGGGGAAAAGAGGTACTTGTTCTACAGGTAAGGTGAGGCAGGGGGTAACAATAAAGGGCTGGGAAAATTCCTAATCCTTTGAAGGGCAAAGAGAAGGCACCTTAGCCCAAACAAATTGGATTCCAGACTCTCATTAGGTGGGAGCTCAGTGTAGGCCTGGGTTCTGATTGATCTCTTTGTCTCTCCTTCCACTTCTGCAGCCATATGAATGATCTCCTATTAAATCTTCAGCATGCATGTGTCATGCTGAATTTTAGGTATGGGTCAACAACTGTCATTGTATAAAATTAGAGAAGGAAGATGTTTATCAGGGCTTGTGCACACGTGGACATTGAGACTACTTTGTTTTTCAGGGGTGTAGGACAGCGTGGTAAGCTCTTTGTTGGCATGTGAAGTCATTATCGTTGGCGGAGATGGGGATAGTAGTTCCTTTGAGCTAAAAGGTATGTCTGATGTCATGAATGAACAACACTCAGGTGATGTCCTATTGCTCACACCCCAAGCTCTTCCTATGAATAACCTAACTTCATAAAGCAATGCGTTTGGATTTCTTTTAATAGGAAGCCCCAAGTAGGGCTTTGGAAAGATCAGGGGGCTTGTAGGGCAAAGAATGAAACTGTGTATTGGAATTCTAGGGTTCTATGAAACTGTCTCAGGGGCCCTAATGGAGACTCCAGGCCCCATGGTCTCTTCAACCCATAGTAGTTCTACTTAGGGTACAAAAATTGCCCAGGCACGAGGTAGGTAACAAAGGGAAGGTGCTGAGTAGGAAACACTGTCAATGGGAAGAGGGTTCTCTAAGGGCCAAAGAAAGTTGCTACTCAACTTGTTGACTGTTGCCAGATCTATTTTTTGGCAATTTTTAAATTATCAAGTAATTTTAAAAACCGTGAACTCGTGTCTATGGGCCATTTTTGCTCTTTGGCCTGGCAGTAAGATTGAAATTTCCTTTGCAACATTCCAGCCCTGTGATAGTTCAGCCCATGCTTTAAACCTTTGGATGGGGAACTCATTACTTTCCAAGTCAGCCCCTTATATGGAATGAACTGCTGGGTCCGTATCATGTGACTGGGACTTATTAGGCACCTGCTACATACTACACGCTTCCTGCACTTGGGTTCATTTGGGCAGTGGTGCAAATGGAGTGAAGTCGAGTCAACCTGGCTCTGGGTCAGGCATATTGGATCATGTGTTTCCTTGATGTCAGGCTCTTCCTAACACTGTACCAGATGACGGGAAAGGTAGAAATCTCTGGTTTGGGGACATTACTTGAAATGAGTAACGTTTATTCCATATGCTGTAACTGACCAAAGGGTCCTTCTTTATAAACTGTCTGTGTCAGATGACCGAGCTAAGTAACAACCCAGATTGTTTAGTTCCATGCTAATCACTCTCAGTGCAGAAAGAATCCCAGGAGAGCAGATCTGCCAGAGCCCAGAGCTGGGCAGTGAGGAACATGCTCACTGACTGCCTGCGCCCCTTTGTCCCGGCCTAGACTAGACACACAGGTACACACTACGGACGCTCTAGATTTCGTCCTTCCCGATGTAAACTCCTAGCTCACAGAACGAAGGTTCTAGGGAAAACTTCTTGGGGTAGGTTACCCATGTCCTGGACCCCTCTTCAGATCTGAGACATCCTGCCTGGAGTAAAGGTTTCCACACCTTCTGAGTAAAGTAGCTGTGCAGACCCCTTGGACAGCTGCAGCTCCAAAACTGCCTCCAGCCCCAGGAGCACAGCTTGGCAGTGACAGGCGGGCTGCATATTAAAAACAAACCCAGTTTATTGAAAACAGGTAACTCTCAGTAGCTCTGATTAGAAGCCAGATTCGAGGTACCATTACTCAAGAAAACAGTATGTACAAAAAGTCTCAGGGAAGGGAGAAAAAAACTTGAAAATACAACTTAACAGGACTGGATTACTAGGACGGTCACATGGCAAAATGACACAAAGTACAGCAAAGAGCCACCCATGAGAAAACAGTGGGCCCTCAAGCCTGGGGTGGGGACTCTCAGTTCCCACATTCTTGGACCACATCCCATGATTCTTTGGGGAAAGAGGCACTGACTGAGGAACCGGCCCATACCCAGGGCACAGGCCAAATGTGGGATGAGGCACCAGACCAGTTACAGCTGCTCCCTCAATGAAGCCAGTAAAAGTGCTCTCTGCAAAGTCTCTAGACCTGGCAGGGACCACCGGGCCACAGAGAGCTCAGAGACCTTCTCTGTGCCAGTCACATACAACCCCAGACTAGTCTAAGCCCTACGCGATTCCCTTATCCAAATTTCCACTAACTGGAGAGGTAGAGGAGGAAGACATGGAAACTGCCTCCACACCAATTTTTGGTCTTCTGTAGAGATATATACAAAACAATGTTCCACAAGTCAGCCTGAAAAAACTGGGCACAGCGGGTGTGAGATTACACAGGAGGAGGGGGTGAGCATGGGAGGGGAATTGTGTTCTGCTGTGGTCACTGCTGTGACATGTCCTGTCCCACTGTTCTGGCCCCATTTGTATGGTTCCTCCCCGCTTTCTGATGTGACCTCTCATGGCCCAGAACTCTCACTTCTCTGAGCACAAACCTCCCAGCCTCGAGCATACAGAGTGGAAACACCAGAAGCAGAGGCTTCCTGATGAGCGTGAGTAGGCAGTCTTCCAGAGAACATGAGGTTCTTCCATGTCACCTCCACTGGAGTCAGGCAGGGCAAAGAGGATGCTGAGTTACAGGAGGCAGAAAGCGGCAGCTCAGAGCAGGAAGAATTCAGCAGGGAGAACGACAGGAAGTTCTGATTGCATGGACGCAGCGGGCAGTGTCTCTGTCACCTAGGTTGGAAGGTGTGAACAGTAAACTTTATCTAACTGATGGAGGAACAGTGTCTCCCTACTTCCTGGATTCTCCATAGGGACACCACCACTTCCTGCTTTGGAACTTCACTCAAATAGACAATAAGCTTGAAAGGAAGGTCCCAGAAGTGCCCACTGAAGATCCAGTCTGTCAAGTGTGGCTTCTTGGAATAGCAGCCTCATTTGTGAGTCCGTATGCTGCTGCAGATTTGGGCAAGACGGCTCTAAAAAGAAAAGGAGACAGGTCGTTTAGAGATGGCGACACGGCATGCTTGTCCAGGGAGCCACTCATGGTCTACTCAGGTAGCACTGGGCGTGGGGTCAGGTAGGTCTGAGGAAATCTCAGCCCTGTATTCTCTATTTGTGTCACAAACTGATTCACCTTCCTGAATCTCAGTTTCTCATCTGAACAAAGGAGCGAAGTAACAACTCACATGAGACAATGAAGGTGGAATCTGGGAAGAGTAATGCTGTAGGTCCAGCTAGATGATGAATGTTACCAGATTTGGGTGGCTGGCTATGTGATCTCAGCACTGGGCCTACGTTCAATAGGACATGTTAGGGAAAGCAGCTCGCCATTGTCCCCTTCCTTGGATGTACCCTTCACAGGCGCCCCAGGAGGGTGGGCCTATGGCAGCCATGTTTTCACTAAGTGCTCTTGTCCACCAGCCAAGACCATGCTGACTGTACCAGGGAGGCCCATATGACCAAAGCTGAGCCAATTAAATTCTTCCTCTTGAACATTTAAACCAAGACAAGAACCTGGACAGTTAGTGTTGGGTAATGGAGCAACTGTTAGAGCTGGAAGAGTGGATACTCAAAGCTACAAACCAATGCTCAGGGAGAGCAGAACCAAGAGCCTTGAGAAGGTCACCTGCTGGGGGGTAGGACTGAAGTGCACAGGGCCCCAAAGACAGAAGAGCTGGAGGAGCTGGGGCACCAGAGTGGAGCTCCGTAAACTCCTCTGGCTGATGGTCCCACCCCACCAAGGACTGGCTGTTCAGCGCTTTCTTGGATTCTGTGTTCTGTGGATTCCTTGTAACAAGCCCCCACCCTCCTCCCGCCTTCCTGATCTGTGAAGAAGTTTCAGTTCCTGGAGGTCAAATGTGCCCTGACATACGGCAACAACTGCCTGATGAGGCAGAACCTGGATTCTGTTGTGGAACTTCGGTGGCAGGCACTCTGGGGTAGACCAAAAGTCAACATCAATTTAAGAACAGAACTGCTGCAAGGTAAGCAGGACAATAGTCAAAATCCCTTGGGGGAAAGAAGATTATAAGTACAAAGTGTTAGCCCGGATCTGAAAGACAACCCTAAGTAAAGCTAACCAAGAACACTACTGGAGGCAGCCCAGATGTGGAGGTGAGTGTGAGACTTACGGACAGCTGCTTAATGTTCCCCAAGGCCTCTGGATCCAGTTGTGCAATATCGACCCTCTTCAAGTCACTGGCCAGTAATCTCATGCTCTGTATGGAGGGGAGAGTGGGTTAAATTGCATGTCCTTCAGGGTGGGAACCTCCATCCAGCAGCCCAGTGTGCCCCAGGGGGCCTCCTTTGTGTTCTGCACTCGGGGGGATGAGGCAAGGCAGGCAGGACTCAGGCTGTCACCGTGTTCCTAACAATACAGTGACTTCAGTGCTTGTTATTGGGTAAGCAGCTGGAGCACCCAGGTACCAGGGCATACCCATCAGGTTAGAAATGCCCTGCAGACCACACCTGAGATAAACTGCTCTTTCCTCCCAGGAGGTGAGGTCAACAACTTGCTCTACTCAGCTCAGAGAAACTGGGCTGCTTCAGAACCCCTGGAAGTTAGATAAAGTGGAAGAGACAGCTCATGCTCCCCTTTCTAGACAACACACACACCCTGGCAGTGCCCCCACGCACTCCATCTCCTTTACTGCACACATCACATGATAGTATAGTTAACCGTGAACCTATCTTGACTACTGAACTGCTTCTCCAGGGCAGAAATGTCTTCTGCATCTTGGGTCTGCTGTCTTCTGCATATTGGGTACGCAAATGTTAGTGGATGAACAAATGGAACCCAAAGCCGGGCAAGGATGTTTCCAGTCTGCGCCTCTAATCTGGGAGAGGAAACTGGGCTCTGAATCCTATACAAGAGTGGAGAGGATCCATGCAACCAAAAGGACTTTGGGGGAGAGAAGTGGGTGACAGACCAGGGAAAGGAATGCTGATGATGCGGCACGCAGTGGCCAGGCTTCCCTCTGAGACACTTACCTCTCCACCTCCCACTGGCACAGTAAGGAAAACCTCTTTGCTGTCAGCCAGAGGGCTGCCGTTCACTGAGACATTGTAAATCCGCTCTCTGGCTGCTGGAGTTCGCAGGCCTGGGGTTTTGAAGACCCTAGAAAGTGGGAAAACCTCTGTAAAGATGGCTGGCAGATTGCATGACACCAGGCGCTATGAGCCCTTCCAAACCCCATCTGGCCTCAAGCTGCACTTTTCACATCACACATTTCTAAGAAGGCGAGTTCTAAATTTAGGGGGAAATCTTTTTAAGCAGTAATGACTAAACACAGCTGGAGAAGGGAGATTGTAATTATCAAACATACATCTAGCAAAAGTAAATTCTTATCCATGTAAATTTTAGGCCCAAAGCTCTGTATGAATGCCAGTCATCCATCCATCCGTCCATCCATCCACCCACCC